GATGCAAGCAAGAAGCCCAAGTTCATTCAAGGAAGACATCCTTTTATCAAGGATGGTCTCGGCCACAAGAAGGGTGGCAAGACCAGTGAAAGGAAGATGGTGAATGGAGTGTCTTGCATCAGGTTTGAGAAGGAGACCATTGGAGAGGTGCAGCCAGTACAGACCGTGGAGGCTCTGCGTAGAATCGTGGAGGTTCCACGCCCTGGAGGTTCCGCGCCAAAACATGGAGGTTCTAGGGTCTGGCAGAACAGTGGCACCAACAAAATCAAGGCACCATCTCAACCAAGACAACAAGCTCCTAAAGCATCTAACACTCGCCTGTAGGTCAAGGAGAACCCAACATACCAAAGAGGAACAAGTATGCTTACAAGCCCAAGGCCCATGCACCCCATGAGAGCATGTCCTCTAGCTATGTGTTGAGACGCAACAACATTTGTAAAGTAGTTGCCATATATGTTGGAAATGAGTCCAACATATATGTGAAAAGATCTCTATGGGTTCCTAAGATTCTAGTGGCTAACACTCAAGGCTCCAATGCTAATTGGGGACCTAAAAGAAGGAACTAAACTTGTTTTGTAGGCATACTCCTCCGGTGGATCAAGTTGGGTGCTTGATAGTGGATGTACAAATCATATGACTAGAGAGAAGAGTATGTTCTCATCTTATGCCCAAATGGAAGGTCCAAGTGAAAACATAGTATTTGGGGATAATTCAAAAGGAGACGTGCTTGGTGTCGGTAAAATCTCTATAATTCAAGATCATTCAATTTCCAATGTTTTACATGTTGATTCGTTAAGTTACAATTTATTGTCTGTATCACAATTATGTGAGATGGGCTATGATTATCACTTTACGGATAAGGGTGTGACCACCATTAGAAGGGAGGATTCCTCTATTGCTTTTACGGGTCGCTTGAAGGGCAAGCTTTACCTAGTTGACTTCAACAAAAGTAAAGCAATGCTTGAGACTTGTTTAGTGATAAAATCTAGCATGGGTTGGTTATGGCATTGCCGACTAGCTCATGTTGAGATGAGGAACTTGGCCAAACTTCTAAAGGAGGAACACATCGTTGGACTAACGAATATTCAATTTGAGAAAGATAGGATATGTAAAGCATGCCAAGTCGGAAAGCAAGTGGGCGTACCACACCCACCAAAGAGCATCATCACTACCGCAAGCCCATTGGAGCTCATCCACATGGATCTCTTTGGACCGGTTGCCTACGTTAGCATTGGCGGTAAGAAATATGATCTTGTTATTGTTGATGATTATTCTCGCTTTACGTGGGTGTTCTTTGTGTATGATAAGAGTGAAGTGTAAGGGAAGGTGAAGACCTTCATTAGAAGAGCACAAAGGGAGTTTGGGCTACCTATCAAGAAGGTGCAAAGCGACAATGGTACCGAATTCTGCAACACCAATGTTGAAGAGTTTCTTGATGAGGAGGGCGTCAAGCATGAATTCTCAGCTCCATATACCCCTCAACAAAATGGGGTGGTTGAGAGGAAGAACCGAACTCTCATTGACATGGCAAGGACAATGCTTGATGAGTACAAGACTCTGGACAACTATTGGGCCAAAGCAATCAACACCGCTTGTCATGCTATCAACCGCCTCTATCTTCACAAGTACTACAAGAAGACTTCATATGAGCTTCTAACCGGTAACAAACCCAAGGTGTCATACTTTAGAGTACTTGGGTGCAAATGTTTCATTCTTAACAAGAAGCCCCGAAGCTCTAAATTTGCACCTAAGATCGACGAAGGCTTTCTTCTTGGTTATGGTCCAAACGAGCACGCCTATCGGGTTTTCAATCTTTCTACCAGAAGAACTAAAATCACGGTAGACATGATATTTGATGAATCTAATGGCTCTCAAGTGGAGCAAGTTGATTTAGATGTTGTAGGAAAAGAAAAGCGTCCTTGTGAAGCAATCAAGCATATGGCCATAGGTGATGTGAGACTAGTTGAAGTGACCAAAGAAGAAGACCCTCCACTCCAGGCTTCAACACCACTCCAAGGGCCAACTGCTGTCCTAGGTCCTGTGAACATGCAGGACGCGGAGGCTCCATGCCTAAACATGGAGGCTCTGGGGCCTAGAGGTTCCGCGCCAAGACGCGGAGGCTCTAGGGTTTGGGACAACAATCAGCAAGAGGAGGAAGAAATACAAGATGATGAGCCTCAAGCTGATGATGATGATGACAACCAACCCCTACATCAACCTTCAGATAGGCCACCTCATCCAAGAGTGCATCAAAGTGTACAACAGGATCATCCTGTTGACAACATCCTTGGGAGCATAAGAAAGGGAAACCTCTTAAGGTAGATGAAGCTCTTAAGGATCCAGATTGGGTGATGGCTGTGCAAGAAGAGTTGAACAACTTTGAGAGAAATCATGTGTGAGAGTTGGTGGAAAGACCCAAGACTAATGTGATTGGCATCAAGTGGGTCTTCTGAAACAAGCAAGATGAACATGGTGTGGTGATAAGGAACAAGGCAAGATTGGTTGCTGAAGGGTTCACTCAAGTTGAAGGGCTAGACTTCGAAGAGACCTTTGCACCGGTGGCAAGACTTGAAGCAATTCGAATGCTTCTAGCCTTTGCCGTTCATCATGATTTCAAGCTATATCAAATGGATGTGAAGAGTGCCTTTCTCAATGGTCCACTCTCTGAGCTAGTCTATGTGGAGCAACCACCGGGATTTGAAGATCCTAAGCATCGTCATCATGTCTACAAACTCCATAAGGCACTCTATGGGCTTAAGCACGCACCAAGAGCATGGTATGAATGCCTTAAGGATTTTTTGCTCAAGCAAGGCTTTGAAATAGGCAAAGCCGACACTACTCTCTTCACAAGAAAGATTAAGAATGATATATTTGTGTGCCAAATATATGTCGATGACATAATATTTGGTAGTACTAATCAATCTTTTTGTGAAGAATTTAGTAGGATTATGACAAAGAGGTTTGAGATGTCTATGATGGGTGAATTGACGTTCTTCCTCGGGTTTCAAGTCAAGCAATTGAAGGAAGGGACATTTATATGCCAAACTAAGTACACAAGGGATATACTCAAGAAGTTTGACATGGCAAACACCAAACCCATCAAGACACCTATGCCAACAAATGGGCACTTAGACTTGGATATAGATGGGAAAGCTATTGACCAAAAGGTATATCATTCCATGATTGGCTCCCTACTTTACTTATGCGCATCTAGGCCGGATATTATGCTTAGTGTGTGCATGTGTGCTAGATTTCAAGCGAACCCGAAAGAGTGCCATCTTATGGCCATTAAGAGAATCTTGAGATATTTAGTACACACTCCTAACTTTGGCTTGTGGCATCCTAAGGGCTCAAATTTAAATCTACTTGGGTATTCAAATTTCGATTACACCGGTTGCAAAGTAGAAAGAAAAAGTACATTGGGGACATGTCAATTCCTTGGATGGTCCCTAGTGTCTTGGATCTCTAAGAAGCAAAATTCGGTAGCCCTTTCCACCGTTGAAGCCGAGTATATGGCGGCCGGTGCATGCTATGCCCAAGTACTTTGGATGAAGCAAACCCCTAATGATTACGAATATCGCTTTACCAAAATCCCACTTTTATGTGACAATGAAAGTGCCATAAAGCTTGCAAACAATCCCATGAGCCACTCAAGAACTAAGCACATAGACATCCATCATCATTTCTTGAGAGACCATGAAATCAAAGGAGATATCGCAATTCACCATGTGAGCACCAAAAAACAACTAGCCGATATCTTCACAATGCCTCTCGACGAGTCAAGGTTCTGTGCTTTGAGTGAACTAAATATACTTGACTCTCGTAACATGGTTTGAAATCTTGCATGCCTTTGTTTGTTATTTTCTATTTAAACTAGATAGGTTTGCAAAATATTCATAAATGTTTCAAAATGTTGGTTCTTATGTCCAATCTTGTCTCAAGTAGCTATTGTTATGAATTGTTGATCTGCTGGCTAGCTACAAGAGACAAGAAGTTCATGGCCATAATCAAAACACTAAGAAATTACCTTGAAATATAGACCTAGTTTCTCCTCTATGTCAGATCACGGAGGCTCCGTATTTCTGTGCGGAGGTTCCATGGCCTGGAGGCTCCATGGCCTAGCGCGGAGGATCCGCGCCCTGACAGTTTCACTAGGGTTTGGGTAAAATCAAAAATGATTTTCATCTTTCCCTTTTTAACCCTCCCAGTAACCATCCTGAGTTATTGGGCTTCTCATTCATCGCACCATCCTCTCTCTCATGTGCGCGCTTGCCTTCGTCATCGCCGTTGCCGCGCCATCGCTCCCGCCATAGTCGCTCCATTGCCCTGCTCCCCTGTGTCACATGGGCATTTGTGGTGGTGTTGCCAGAGGTCGAGACTCAGGGGGAGTCCACGGAGGAGGAAGAAGAAGCCATCTTTGTCGCCATCCGAGGAATCCATGCCGTCAGCCAAAATCCTAGGCTCCCCGTCGGCTGCGCCCGCAGCAGAGGAACAGTCCTTGAGGCCATCTGTGATCATCATCGTCCTCCTCCCCTTTGATTTCTCACATCCAAGGTGAAACCCTAATTCCACCATGGATTCAATTTGGGTTATCTTTTCGATCGATTTCTTGCGTAGATAGAGTTGTTTTAGTTATTTAGTGCTGGATTTGATGGTACGTTGTGCTAGATTCGAGTTGATAGTTGAATCAAATTAAGGGTTCATCTGCCAGAACGTAGAGGCTCCGGGCATCTGCGCGGAGGCTCCAGACCCCGGAGGCTTTGGGTCAGAGCACGGAGGTTTCATGATCTGGACAGACTGAGTGCCTTGATTTGCTTCAAAACTCAACTCAAACCTACTATGATGTCGCTATTATGTTTAAGCACTATTTCTTATCCTCTCTACGTGTTCGTTTTGTTAGATGGAACGTGATCTAGGTCGAAGAAATGAGAAGAGGTCGAAGCGCTCCAATGATCCTGCCGACCACTAGATTAGAAGGATAGTTGTACGAGAACTTGCAGGTGGTGGTGAAGATGTTAGTCAAGGCAGTGGGCAGCAGGGTAGAGGTCGAGGCAGCCAAAAAGCTCAACCTAGAAGAGGCAGTGGCAGTGGTGCTAGTCGTGGCAGTGCTGGCCATGGTGTTGGTGCGACTGGACATGGAGAAGGACCTGTCGATGATGGAGGAAGAGAAGGGAAGATCATACGTGCAGTTGGTGCGCCAGACACCCCCCCTCAGTTCTTAGAGTTTGATCAGTCCTATATGGTTCAACATTAGGGTGCCCCAGTGAGGAGAGAGCCAGTGATCTATGATCATGGAGTCCAGCACAGTAACTATCACAATTTGGGAGTGCAAGTCAAGAGAGCTAGGGCAGAAAATCCCTTTGTGTGGCTGAATGACAGAGGGATAGACTATAGGTTTTGGTCTCTATTTCAGTTTGACTTCTACAAGACTGTGATTCTTGCCAAAGAAAAGAAGATAGTGCAAATGAAGTACATTCATTGGGATCACATTGAGAGCATGAACACCCTAGATTCCAAGAGAGTGATAGATACAATGACTGAGCATGGGCTGAAGGACATCATGGGTTTCCAATATGATTGGAATCGAGAGATCCTAGCTCAGTTTCATGCCACTTTCTTCCATGATGTGGAAAATGAGACCATTCATTGGTTGACGAAAGGAGTTCACTACAAGGTAGATTTCACTACTTTTGCTCGTCTTCTAGGGTTTGGGAGTGGAGATAGATATGCAGACACCATTCAGACAGAGAATGTCATGAAAGCTGAGGATATTGTATTTGCATATGAGAGGAGAGGTCTAGCTGATGGGAAAACAATAGGGCTGAAGTCTTTCTACTATGCCATGAACAACCTTTTTAGGGAGACAATCAATCCAAAAGGTGGTGACTCAACTTCACTGAGGAAGTATGCAAAGAACTTGCTTGCAAGGATGGCTCCAGGGAGTGATGCTTTCTCTGTTAGTAGGTTTATTTGGGCTGAGTTGAGTGACTCACTAGATGATGCTAGGAATGATCTCCCATATGCTCCTTATATCATGTATATCATTGAGAGGGTGTCCGGCATTGAGTTTAAGAAGGATGTGGAACATAGGCCATACAGGTTGACACAGTGGCAGCACACAGGCTAGGAGGCACTGGTTGGGGTTGCTGGCACATTAGCTGCAGTAGGGGCTACACCCTCAGAGATACCTAGCAGCAGCAGGCCTTCCTCTTCCCACCACAGATCCAGGGGGAGCAAGCTCAAGGAGTTGCTCAAGAACATATTTTGCATGTGTCAATATGCTGTGGATGCCGCTTATGAGGGAAGGAAGGACATCATTGACATGAAGAGGCATCTGGGACTTGAGGTTAGAGAGATTCTGCCTCCACCAGTGTTTCCACCCTATGAGGATAGTAGTGAGGATGATGAAGAGATGGAGTATCCTCATGATCAGAAGATGTTTGGTGAGAGGATGAACATCCTCAGACGTGAGAGAGGACAGTCCAGGCCACAGAGGTTCACAGCTACTACACACAGGGCTGGTAGGGCTATTGTGACTGACAGTGACGAGGAGTCTGGTGAGAGGACTTTTTCCGACAGCAGGCAGTAGACCGACCCGATAGATGATGATGACAGTGACATTGGCAGTGATTGGAGCAGGGAGCAGTGAGACAACCGTACTTTACCTCTCTTGTTCTTTCCCTTTTTGGCATCTGTTGACAAAGGGGGAGAGAGGCAAGATTGAGATGTTTCTTTTGTGTCGTCGTTGTCTTTCATGATGGTGGCAGTAGTAGTAGTGGACGTTGTGAGTTGACATTGTGAGTTGATGTTGTGAGTTGACGTTGTGAGTTGTGAGAGTCGAGGTCTTTTTTGAACCCTCTTTCTATCTTAGTGGTCTGTAATAATACTTTGATTCACCTCTGTGTGGCGATTGGTGGTCATGGACATGGATATGTGAATTTTATGTGAAATGAAATGCTAGAACTGTGGTAAAACTTCTTCAAATTCATAAGTTTCTAGCATTCCATAACTGTGTGATGTCTGTTCATATATATATGTAATGCTTTCTGTTCTAATTAGAAGATTCTAAGTGTGCAGAACACGGAGGCTCCGCGCTTTGGCCTGGAGGCTCCGCGATCTGTAGACCCAGGATATTTTCTTTTATGCATAAACTGTCATACGCATCATAGATTATTATTTGACACACTTCTTTTGCACCCCACGATGGCATGAATACAATGTATCTTTCACACTTGCTCTTAATATATGCAAAGTATGTCTTGAAGGGATATTTTTATAATTCCAAACAAATCTTGCATAAATTAAGGGGGAGCCCTTGTATTCTTGCTATCAAAAGCTCGATCTTTTAATTAAATGTTGGCTTTAATTGTGTTGCCAACATTTACCAAAAAGGGGGAGATTGTAAGTGTAATCAAGCTCTAAGTGGATTTTGGTGATGTTTACCACATAATTAAAGGACGAATGGCTTTGACAAGTGTTTGACAGCATATCTTTAATCGTGGATTCAAAGAAACAAAGGAGGAGACCCCCCAACTCGAATGGATGGCTTGCCATGGCTCCAAGAGCTAGTTTAATTCATTTTATATTTTGAAATTGAGTCATAGGACAAGCCGTACTATCAAGGGGGATACTAATGGTGTGCTGGGTGGAACCAAGTGCTCAAAACTCCATCTAGATCTCAAATAATCCCAGCCACAAAAAGGCCAGCCAAGCTGAATTCTTATCTGCTCTGGCCTACGCGGAACCTCCGCGCTCAAACACGGAGGCTCCGGGGTCTGTCTGACCAGACCATTTTGTGGGTGACTTGGGTGGTATTTATACCATACCCCTTCGCCCCCAACGGTCATCTTCTTCCTCATTCACTCAGACTCAAACTGAAGCTCTCTCTCTCACCCAAGCTTGGTGCTCCCAACTCCCTTGCTCAAATATTTGTGATTCCTTGAGGGATTTGGCTCTAGAGAGTGTGAGAAAGCTTGAGAAGATCCTTCTCCTCCGTTCTTGTGCACTTGGTGAAGGCCTAGTCGCTTGGTGTGTTCGTTACTCTTGGAGCTTGGCTCCTAGATGACTAGTGGTTGCCCGGTAGCTCCCAATCCGCTGTGGTTGAGCACTGGGAAGTTTGTATTACCCTTTGTGACTAAGTAGAACCCTCTAACCCATTGCCTTGGTGATAGGTTGGAGAAGAGGAGCGAGTTGAAAGAGACTCCATAGCCTTTGTGGCTAACCTCAACAACGTGGATGTAGACAAGCCTTTGTGGCGAGTTGAACCATGGGATAAATCCTTGTGTTCACTATGATTGTTGTTGTTGTTGCTATTACTTGTGATTTGGATTGATTTTTAGGGTTTGCATCCGATCTACGAATTCCTCATCTTCTAGGTGCAACCGATTGTTTGGATAGCTCAACATACTCCCCAAGAAGGCTGGTATTACATTCGATCTATTTTTCATTCATTAAATTCCACAGTAGATCGATTTCATACTCTGATCCCCGGAGGTTCCACGCTCAGTCCCAGAACCTCCGTGCCCCGGAACCTCCGCGTTAAAACCCGGAGGTTCCGCGTTCTGACTATTTTTCATACGGTGATTAAATTTTAAAAAAAGGCCTATTCACCCCCCTCTAGGCCACTTGCTAGATCCTTTCAGTTCTCTCGCTTCTCTTCCTCCCATCCTCTATTTGTCTTTTATGAAGTTTGCATTTGCATTTCAGGTTTGATCGGTCCTATGCATGAGGTTTGACTCCATCACCTCTGTTGTTATTTTTTTGTTTAGTTGATGTTTTTATACTGCTCTGGTTTACACTGCTATGTGTAATACTGACTTTCATTTGGTTTAATGAAAGTTGCTTTGGCTAATCACGTTTAATATATTATGGTTCATGATGTACTTGTTGAACTTGTATGATTTTTCTGATTGGTTTTGGTTGACACTGCATTAGGGTTTGACTACACTGGTTTGGACAGTAGTATGGGTTGGAGTGCTGTTAGTAAACCTTCTTGGAAGTGTGTGATTTCAAGTATTTTTTGTGTTGATTAGATGTATAGATGAGTTGGACTATGTATGTATAGACATCATTTACATTCAATAAGTTTGTTTTAGGGTTTGTCTTCATGGGTTTACATGATTATAGATATGATTGAGATGGAAATTGTTGTTGAATTGTGTAATAGTATTGGTTTGTATCTTTGTTTTGTTGAACTACTTTGTAATAGGTTCAATGGTGGTTCCAAATGACAACCAATTCGTGGACCATCTGAAGGATCAAGGTGCTATCGGTCCATTCCTACCAGCAGAGCCAACACCGTTGTGTTACTGTGGGTTACCGACATTTGTGAAGCAATCAAGACATCCCGCGTTAGCTGGGCGTGCTTTCTACTGTTGCCAACTTAAGTGACGTCCCCCGACACTTGATGCCTACCTAGAGGGATGCAGCTTCTATTAGTGGATCGATGGCGATGAAATGTTTGAGCCGTTGATTATGTTGTTTCCTTATGACCCCTGGAAGAGTGTTCCATATGCAGAATATGTTTGTTGGGTTCCGCCGCCACCGAACCCTCTAGAAATGACAGAGGCGGAGAAGGTTGACGCTGCTTTGCGCCGTCTAGCCTATCCTCCTAGATGCCATTGTGGAGTGTCGGTGCAATTAACTACTCCCAGCCAATGTGGAGCATTCACTGCCTTCTATCGCTGTGGATTGCCAGATTATGTAAGTTCTCATGAAAGCATTCTATCTCTAAGCTTGTATAAGTTTTGCACATACAATATTACACTTGGAACATATGTTTTTTGCAGAGAGGGTTCCCATCTTGTAACTTTGAGGAGTACAACTATGGACCCAAATCGCACTGACCTTTAGAGTATGAATTTGCGGAGTTTCAAGCAGGCATTAAGCCATGGCCATGCACAAAGATGCCGGACCGTAAGTGCAAGTGTGGTATCAAGGCTCACGAAGGAGTTGTTCCATCTAAGTTAGGATACGAATACTACTGTGGCAATGCTTATGGAAGGCCGTCTGAGTTATGGGTGAGTTGACTGAACCGGTGAAGTTACTACATGAACGTAGGCCACTGGTTTGTTTGCTTATTGCTTTGTGTTTGCTTAGGTGGGCAGGACATGCAATTGGGAGGACTTCACTGGTTGTGGAGAGTTAGTGGAGAGGTTGAAGATACATTCGCCACTCAAAAAAGAGAGCAAGCGTTGGATGTGAGAGGAGAAGCAGATGGAGGTGAGGATGAGGTACGGGGTAGAGATGCCATCATGGAAGACCCGTAACAGAATTTTAGAGGACTTTCCTCGAGTGATCGGTTGACAGCTGAGTTTTTCCAATAACAAGACCGAGTTGATGAGCTTCTGGAGACAAAACAAGGAGGCCGAGGATAAGAGGGAGATGGCCTTTTTCCAAAGGCATTTGCGTCGCTTATGTGAGTAATTGATTTCAAAATATCTTTTCACTTATGCATCGTCTTACAATTGTTGCCAATGAGACATAGTTTTGTTCTTGTAGTCCCCGATGATGCACCGAACGATGGGCATATCCCCGCACCCATGGAGGAGGACGATGACGATGACGATGACCATGACGACGACGATGACGATGATGATGACGATGAGTAGTGTTTCCTCTCAACTGATGCCTACAAGGTGTAGTACATATTTTGCAAATGCCAATACTTTTGGCATTACGTAGGTATTGTATATGGTAGATGGAGGACTGGTACGATAGCGTTGCTTCTTTTGTGCAAAGGCAGCAAGATCCATATATATTTTGCAAATGGCCTAGGGTTGACATTTGGTAGTACTTGTTCATGGTAGATGGAAGACTAGTGTTAGTAGTAGTGCTTGTATATGCTAGATGGAACACTTATGTAAGTGATGATGATGATGATCTTTGAACAATGCTTCGAACTCCTTATCGTGTGTAATGCTTTGAACTCGTTATGATATGACTCATTATGGTGTGTAATGCGAACAATGATTCAAAACCATGAAAAAAATACAATGTCAATAAGTTATGAAATGGTGGACTTAGGAAATGGTTTCACAAAAATAGCGTCACTTGGTGGAAATGGCCAAGAAATTTTATGTTTGGAAAAAACCATGAAGAAAATTCAATGTCAATAAGTTATGAAATGGTACTTAGGAAATGGTTTCACAAAAATAGCGTCACTTGGAGGAAATGGCCAAGAAATTTTATGTTTAGAAGAAAAACACGAAGAAAATTCAATTTTAAGGACGCATGTTTCGAAAAAATTCATGAAAGCTAGACAGTTGGAGGTAATGGTCGAAGCTAATAGATTTCCAGGACTGTCGTGCCTGCCAAAGTGGCATGAGAAGCCTGTCATGCCGGAGTCGCTAGCGCGACCAGCCTGTCGCACCACCCATGCCGGTGCAACGAGGACTCACTAGGCCAGGCTAGACCTCTCTAGTTTCGATGGGTGGCTGATGCGACAGTGTCGTGCCAACATTGGTGGCGTGACAGTGTCGCGCCAGCTTGACTGGCGTGGCTCTGTTGTGCCAACCAGCCATGAAAACTAGAGAGGTCTTGCCTGGCCTGTGAGTACTTGTTGCACTGGCATGAGTGGCTCGACAGGCT